GGATAGATATATAGTTACATTCTCTTAATGAATAGAGGGATTTGTTCTAATAGTGTTTATATATAGGATATCATGTCTGCACCTTGTACAGCAAATAACCACTAGGAAGAGAGTATGTAATGTGTTAATTATTGAAACTGTCCTAGCAATTTGATTTGAAACTGTCTCATTACTATTTGTTTCTCAAAAATTTATGGAAAAAAATAAAATAAATTTGTAAGAAAGGTAAGAAAACAGACAAAAACAAAAATTTAAGGTCTTTTGAAAGCAAACGCTAATATCCAATCACAAATCAAATTTTACAAAAACCACAAACTTAATGGGGGATCTTAACACCTCCTTATCTCAAAAAGATAAATAGAGCAGACAAAAAATTAATGAAAAGATAGCAGAACTGAACTAGACCTTTGAATAAATGGGCTTAGTGGTCATATGGAGAGTGTTACAATCAACAACAACTGAGTACACATTCTTTTCAGCTAAACATGGGGAGTTTTGTAAAATACACCATATATTAGCCCATAGATCATGCTTAACTATATGCAAGAAAACACTAATTATTCCATGCACGTTATCTGATCACAATGAAGTGAAAATGAAAATTAACAATAAAAGTAACTACCAAACTCATAAAAATATGGAAATTGAATAACACCCTGCAGCAACCAATGGATTACAGAAGGATTTTAAAAAGAAATAAAAACAATATCCACGATCCAATGAAAATTCAAGCATAACTCATCAGAATTTATGGGATGCAATGAAAGCAGTTTTCAGAGGGAAATTTATAGCAGGAACTCACACATTCGGAAAAGAATGAGAACAAATAAATACCCAAATGCTGCACCTCAAGTTTCGAGGAAAGAAGAGCAAACCCAATGCAAAACCCAAGAACAGGAGGAAATTATAAATATTTTATCATAAATTTACACAATTGAGACAAAACAGTACAAAAATTAATGAACCAAAAAAGCTGGTTCTTTGAAAGATTAACTAAAATTGTTAAACCCATAGCTAACTTCATTAAAAAGAAAAAGAAGTGCCAGTAAAATAGCTCAATGTACTAAGGCAGCTACTTAGGCAGAATGCAGGGGTCAGGGTTCCATCTCTGGCATGCCATGCTGGCCCTGCCCCCAGGGTGCGCTGAGATGGTGATTGAGACTTGGATTGGTGGTGCTTGCCTATAATACTAGCACTTGGGAGGCTGAAAACAATAGGATAACTATGAGTCTGATCTGTGTGGTGAGACCCTGTGGACTGTGTACACCCTGTACAAAATGTACAAAAAAGAAAAAACCCTCAAATTCAAGCAGTAAGGAATGAAGAGGGGAAAATTAGTATAGATCCTTTGGAAATTCAGATCATCAGTAGCTACTTTGAAAATCTTTACTTTCACTGAATTGAAGGCAAAGAGGAAATGGACAAATTTCTAGACAGGTGCAAATTACAAAATCTGAATCCAGATGATATAAAAACTCTGAATAACCCAGTATCAGCTAATGAAATTGAAAGTGTAATAAAAAGACTTACCATCAAAGAAAAGCCTAGGTCCTGATGGATTCATGACTGAGTTATATAAGAAATTTACAGAAGATTTAATGCTACCTTTTGTCAACCTCTTCAATGAAATTGAAAAGTAAGAAATACTCCAAAATTTATTTCTGGAGGCAAGTAATACACTGATACCAAAACTGGATAAAGATTCAACCAAAAGAGCCAATTACAGGCTAATCTCTCTGATGAACATAGATGCAAAACTCCTCAATAAAATCCTAGCAAATAGAATACAGCAGTTCATCAAGAAGATTATATACCATGACCACATAGGATTCATCTCAAGGGTGCAAGGATGGTTTAACATATGCAAATCTATAAATAGAGTACACTATATCAATACAGACAAATCAAACCACCACACAAAGGCTTTTGACAAAGTCCAACACTCGCCCATGATTAAAGCCCTACAGAAAATTGGAATAGATATCCTCAACTTTAATGTTTTCTTTTTTAGTTTACACGGGACTTGCTCATTATTTTATTTTCCATTTCCATCCATGTATCTCACAGTTGTGGAGAGCTCAATAGCTAGCTTTAGACAAAATCTAAAAATAAATATCACAGGGAACTTCTTTGAAAGGTGAGAAGATCCCAATGATGATACAGCAGATGACTGAAAGGCTGCCAACAAAATCAAACTCCATTTAAAAGAAACTACCAAGAGCCTTATTTAAATTATGGATTCACTGCAAAACTCCATTCACATTCTTCACGACCAGTTCCATAACATGTGTTGACTGACTATGCAGTGAAGCTATGGAAACTTCCAGACTGCTTCACCATACAGAGACCAAAAGCTCTGTATCAGAAAGCAAAGCTTTGAAGTTTCTCAAAAGGAAAAACTATGACCAGTAGGAACAGAAGCAATTGTTAAAGATTACCATTTTATAAAATGTTTCTGTAATGACATCATTTTACTTAATGGATAACCATATTGATAAAGCTAAGAAA